TATATATATATATATATATATATGATGCAAGATAGATGAGGTAATTTGAATGGGAAGACGTGAAGTGGGGAATAAGCTAATAGAAGCATGAATTAAGGCGGGGCCAAGTAGTGGTGGAGGCATTAAACCTCGATGCGGCTCTCCGGAACTAGCGAATAGCGATAGCTGGTTGGCCTCGAAGTAATGTCTGTGTCAGCTAATTTGCGGCATGAATTTGGCGCAGAATTGATCTCTCGAATCCTTCACCTATTTAATCACCTCACCCCCACACACACCCCCCCGCCTTCATTAATTATTTGGTGAACGCCACGCATGAATGCATCTTTGGACACTTCTATTTTTATTTATTTTTAATGAAAGATCTGCCCACACACACACACACACACATATATATATATATATATATAGAGAGAGAGAGAGAGAGAGAAAGAGAGAGAGTAGGTAGAGTAATAAATTGTCGTCTTAGCATTGTACGAAAATTCAACACATACAGATAACAGAAAAGAAGTAAGCAGGATGAGACACATCGACTTTTCATGTGGAAAACCATTGAAAGGGGGAAAAACCATGGGGCCTAGTCAAGTTGAAATAATTCACTATAAATGATGAGTACACAGGTTCATTCTTCTCCTAAATTAGAGAAGATAGAATTACAAAGTTAAATAACTATAATCTGGCTGTAGTTTTTGGTGACAACAAGTTGCAAGGGTCATTGTAGATGGTTACTCTATAAGCGTTGATTGACCAGAGAAGTCATAGCAAACAGTTGCGGGAACTGTTAATCACGTAGACTGTAGTTGGCAAGTATTAATGACGTCCGTAGGTCACGGGGGCTGGAGTCGGGAACAGCATTAGCTGATGACCACGTAGGTCGTTGGGGCTGGATTCAGGAACTGTATGAGCTGATAATCACTTAGGTTGTTGGGGCGAGTATTGCTGACATTTGTAGGCCGCTGGAGCCGAAGTCGAGAACTGCATGAGCTGATGACCTTGTAGGTCTTTGTTGGCATATGAACCGTAGTGGTGAGCAGTGGTGACGTCCATAGACCGTTGGGACCAGAATCGGGAGTTGCATGAGCTAATGACCACGTTGGTCGTAGTTGGCATATGGACCGTAGTGATGAACTCTTGTCCCACAGACGAGAGATGGTTAATAGATTTTCCAAGTTACGACATTGACTGACGCGGTGGTTGATGAAGATCGGCGATGGTCGAGACGGTCGGTGTTGGTCGATGGCGATCAGCAGTGGTTAACGGCGATCGACGATGGTGTTGGACTTCAGCTCCTTCTCGAAGCCTCAAGTTCTCTCCTAAGGCTTCCCCTCCCCCCTTATGATGGGGTTGAGGTCTATTTATAGTGTTATGGGTGCATTAATGAAGGAATATGAGCCATACGACGATTAATGGACATTTGAGTGCCTTAATGATGTCAAAATTAAGTGATCTTGGGCTCCTTTAATTTTTCTTATCGAGACGCTCGATTCAAGTATAAACTTGTCATATTTGAAAACCGTTTGACCTTCCAAATGTGTCCGGAATTCTTTTAAAATTGGTTTCAATTACTTGATCTAGGCTTGATTTGACTCAGATTGTGTTAGTTTTCATATCATTGGTCCGTCTCATCAAGCCCGTCAGTTTGATTATATATTTGTTGAAATTGGAGCACTGGATGACTTTTTATGAAAATTTGAATGTTTCTTATTTAAAATATCGTCTCGAAATTTATACTGGATGATGAAAATTTGCTAATGGCTTATCAATATATATATAGAGGGTGAGGGAGAGATGGATGAAAATTGAAAAAGGCGACCGGAAAAAAATATATTATTTTTGCTCTTTAACTTTCTCACATATATTTTCTAAATAATTAAGTTATTTAGAGGGGAATCTATAACGAACGACTTGATCAAACCTCTTCTGCTGAAAATCGTAAGTTAATTGCAATGCATATTTAAGAAATTTCATATGTATAAATATATAAGAATTTGCCTACCTCTTATTGCCGTGAGTTCGAGCGACTGCTCAAGTCGGACAGCTAAATGGCACTGAATTTATGCATGAAACTTTTAAAATAATAAAAATAAGAAGAAGAAGAAGAAGAAAGGAAAAACATCCCAGCTTATCATCGCAAGAAAGCTGACCAAAGACACTGACCAATCTTTCAATAGATTCAACCTTAAGAAAGAATTTAAATCCTTACTATCGCCAACCATCCTACGAACGCTCCTGAGGCTCCACATCAAGACCAAAAATGATATTAAAAAAAACCACAGGCTCTCCTCGTCGAGGAACAAGCTATCTATCGTGTTATGGTGATTCATTCTTTGCATGATAACCTAGCATCGCCTCTTCAACATGAGATCATCATCTAAGAGTTGAAGGTCGGCAACCATCGTAAGATCAACCGATCGACAAAGCCTAGCCAACTGAATCAAAATCAGTCGACCAGTTGCACCGGCTTAGCTTGACGGACCGAAACAGCCTTGTCAAACCAAAGTCACAGTAGCCCTGTCGACCATATAGCAGTCGGACGATACTCATATGTATAATACCTAGAATATCTTACACATCACCCATTAAAGCAAGGACATAAATGTAATATCTCAATATTATATCATTTTTTTTATAAATAAGAAGATTATTTCATGAATAAGATATGATAAATATGACGTATTATTATTCATTATCGCTCACTCATTTTCCGGTCTCTGCATCTTTCTCTCATTTCTTACATTGTATTCATTGAAATGAGATTCACGAATAAATCAAAATTTAACCATGTCATTGCAGAAAAGCGTACGTTTTGAGTTCTCTCAAATCGGGTGAATAAAGTAATATTTGTCTACGTATTTCTTTTATTTTACAATTTTAATACACCTACCCCACTCAAATATGTTGATAAATTTTCTATCTCCTGCACGGTAAATCATGTGAAGCGCATATTAATGTAGTGTACCAGAGGGATTTATAATTAAATGAATACATCCATTTTAACTCGTATATGTCAGAATGCATTATATATATATATATATATATTATATGGGGTATTTAAATCATACCACATTATTTTATTTATTTATAGATTTAACCCCGAAACATTCATATTTATATGCAAGTCATTTAAATCAATCACATCACAAGAGAAATAACACTACATTATCTTTTTAAAACTGGCGGGCATACTTTCATGTCATGAAGCCAAGGCCTTACAAATGTAAACATAAATTTTGAGTTGTTAGATATGTAAATGCGGCGATTACATATATATTCCATCCAATTCATATGTAATGACCTGTCTAACATCTAAACTTTATTTTTTATACTTATATCTTCCCAAGTAAATGTGTAAGAATT